TTACTAAGGCGGGCTATGCTTATGTAAACGCTAGAGATACAGATGGAAAATACGTTAGACTATATCTTAACAAATTCAAGAAGCTATATGGCATACCATTTTAAAACGTTTTTTAAAAAAAAAAATTTTTTTATCCGATAGAAAAGATGACGAAATTCATCTCAGTAAACAAGTATATGTCAGGACTTAAAGAAGAACTAGACCCATTCATATATTTGAATGTTTACTTCTACCATTTTGAAAAGTCTTCATTTGACAAAGTTTGGAACATCGAACCAGTTAAGTTTGCTATTGTGACTAAAAATGGTGCGAAATTTGAAGACTTAGACATAGAAGGTTTGTTAACAGTCAAAGAAAATTTTGACAGAAAGTTCTCAAAACTCGAAGAAGGTAAAGCATACAAACTTGTTATACCTTATGAACCAAAGAAGACAGACGACTATGAATATTATGAGTCTAAGATAGTTGAAGTTCAAGGTAAATTGGGTAAAAAGATTTTAGAGTCTAAGCCAGTGTTTGCTCCTAAAGAGGAAGAGAACATTGACATTGACCCAGAAATGTTCTAAAAATAAAATTTTATTTTTACATGTCAAATTTCTTCTTCTCTGGCTCTGGTTCAGGTTCTTTTTTCTCTTCTTCTACTTTCTTTTCTTTCTTCTCTCTCTTCTTCTTCTTTTCTGGTGGAGTTATGTCAAATTTCTCAGAACCATATTTATGTAAAAGTTCTTTGTCCTTTAATAGCTCTTCTATTCTGTTTCCTATTTCATCTTCAAGAACAGCGCATGTGTCTTCTTTGCATTCTAAGAAATTTTGTTGGACTTCATCTTTCCAATCGGTGTCATCTCTGTCAACAAGTCTGTCATTGACAAATTTTAAGACTTCTCTGCTTAATGTTTTATGGTTCTTGTCATATTCCCAGAAACAGAACTTTAGAACAAATTCCCCTTTCTTGTTTACACTATGTAAGATTTTATGGTCGACAGATGTTTTGCTGTCGAAAAGCTTGTCTCGAATATAGATAGCGAAATCGCTAGACATTTTCAAAAAGATAAAAATTTTAATTTTTCTAAAAATATGTTAGAAAAAAAGTTTGCTGACATTGACAAGAAATTTGAGAATGTTTTAAACAAGAACAAGAGGAAGTTAGAAAATGCTCAGATAAAACCCATACATGACAAGTTCCTATTTGCTCAGAATGGTATAACAGGTCTAATTGCACCGCCTGGGTCGGGTAAGACTTTCACTTATCTTAAAATGGCTGCACAACAACAAGAACTAGATGAGAAGAACCCATTTTATGAGTTAGTTGTCATTTGTAGTACTTGGTCAATTTGACCAAACCGTAAATTCGTTCAAAGATATTATAAAGAAGTCTAAGTTAGTATGTATAAAGGATACTGAGTTGTTAGATTGGATAAAGAAGTACCAAAGAAGAGTTTTGAAGTACAATGCTATAAATGAGTATGTCAATTCGAAGTTTAAAGACCCAAATGAGGAAATGCAGAGAATATTAGAGAAGAAACACTTCAGAAACAAACAGAAAGAGATAGAATACATTTCGAAGAAATTGCAATCTTACGATTGGAAGACTTACCCTCACAGATGTCTTCTTATTTTAGATGACTTTGCTTCTCATCCTTTGTTAAAGAATAGAGAACAAGACATGTGTCGAATTCTTAAGAAGCTCAGACACTTTAACATCTCAGTTGTCATTTGTGTACAGACAGCAAAGAGTTTAAGTAAGGATGTAAAGAGAATACTTACTGATATCATACTTTTCCCTGGATTGTCCGAAGACGATTTCATGGAACTTATGAAAGAGTCCATGGCAGGTAAGTTTGACAGACATGAACTATGGGAGAAGTACAAAGTCATACAAGACCCTCATACTTCTTTCAGAATTCATATCTACGCGAACAAAGTTCAAATTGTAAAAAGTCAATAAAAATAAAGAGTTCATCTACTCTACTTGTTTGAAGTTGTCAAAATACTCTGTTATTTTTCACGATTTTCATGAGTTTTGGCTACCCCTGTAAAAGTCGGTCTAGAGAAATTTCATGAAATTTGGTCATTTTTTTCAGCAAAAATATATTTTAGGGTAGAAGGGTATATCTACCCCGTTTTCTACCCTCATTTCTACCCCAGTTATTTTATAAGCGTTTTACATGGTAAACGTTATTTTTTAAATTTTGTGAAAACTCAACGGTTTGACACAAGCCCTAAAATATATTTTACTCAGAATTTTACTCAGAATTCAATAAAAATATATTTTAGGGTAGAAGGGTATATCTACCCCGTTTTCTACCCTCATTTCTACCCCAGTTATTTTATAAGCGTTTTACATGGTAAACATTGTGAATTCGTGAAATTCTAAACAATTTCGTAGCTTCTATTTCTTCTGTCAGTACATCGAATGTTTTAACAATGCCGAAGGTTTCTTTATATTTCTTCTTGACATCTGAAAGAAGGAAATCGTCAGCTGTTGGATAGTTTTTGTTTAGAAATGTCAACATGTCCATTTTATCTTCTGCTGGTTTCTCTGCCTCCCTCTTTAAGTCAGCATAGTCGTTTCTCATACGTTCTATCTCTTTGACGGAGTAGTTATATTTCCTAATTGCTGCCTTACATTTTGAACATTGCGGGTTCATTTTTGCGTTATATTCTGAAACCTTACCTGCTAGTATGACTAAGGCGTCAATTGCTCTCTTTAACTCAAAAGTTGCGGGTTTTATCTGTTCATTCCATATCTTACCTCTTCTATCTTTATCTCTTATCTGCCATACACATTCAGCAACTAACGAAACAAAGTTGTCGTAGGTCTTAAACTCCCCAGATTTGTATATGTCAGAGATGTTCTTATATACCATATCGCAATCTTTGTCCATGACTTTGTGGTTGCAATGAAATCCAAGAAACTCATAGTTAACCTTTCGTATGAACTTCTTTATTTCTACTGAGTCAGTTGCTTTGACTTCTATTTCATCGAATTCTGGAATAGTAAGCTTTTGTTGCTGGATTTCAGGCAATTTGGGTAAATGGTCGATGAGGTCCTGCATGTCATAAAGATACTGTTCATTTGTTTCATCTTTCGCACAACAGTCCAAAGTACTTGTTAAAAGTTCTTGCTTTATCTTCTGGATTTTTGTTTCGAAAGTATATGAAGAAGGAATGAAGCTTTTCATCTCTACTAACATTGAAGTTGGGTTCATGACTAACGAGTTTGGTGCTGTTGTTGCTAACATGTTCTTACAATAAAAATAAAAAAATATTTTTTTAAAAAAACCAACTTTATTTTTTATTTCGGGAAAACTCATGACAAATTCAAGAGGGTAGAAAAGAGGTTAGAAAAGAGGTTATATCTAACCTTCTACCCTAAAATATATTTTTGCCGAATTCATGAGTTTTGGTTGAAAGAATACGGTGGAGCCAAAAGTGGCTCGACCTCAAAACAAGCATTTTCTGTATAAAATTCATGAAAATTCATGAGGTTAGAAAAGAGGTTAGAAAAGAGGTTAGATATACCCATCTACCCTAAATTATATTTTTGCTGAATTCAGCAACAAAATTCAAATTGTAAACGGTTTAATAGAAAAAGTGTTATTTTTTCATGTCCGAAGACTCGAAGGTGCAACACTTCCAAAATACCGACGAACTCAGAAGAGCAGCATGGCAGTATGTTCTTGACAACTTCTTTGAGTTCTCCAGGTACACCTTGGAAAATGCTGAAGAACTCCGACACAGAGAATTTGGAGAAATTGCACTCCAATACTACCTTGACAAACAAAGGGTAAACAAAGGGTAAAATAAGACTAAAAACTTAACGTTTAAAAAGTGACATTTTTTATGAGCTCCGAGTCACCGAGAAAACTTGGTCAGATGTTAGCAGCTTACTTCCCTGAGGAGGATGGAAGCGTTACATACGTAAGGTTCAAAAACAACGAACCTGGAATTGCGTACCAAATTCGCAATTACATGACCATGGAAGAGTACGAAAGGTTCCTACAAGAGAAACCAGCTCTAAACAACTCAGAAAAGAAAGAGTAAAAAGTTTAATTCGTAATTGTTTATTTTTTTACTTGTATGGGCAAGCTGCAAGTATGAAGTCGACTACCTCCGTCTTTGTCTTGACCAGTTGGACTGCTCTTGCGAGTACGTCTGTTTTGCGGTCTCCAGCTGGTGTCTGACCTTCGTAATTGCGCATGTTCTTGAGAGCTCCAGTTGTAAATGATTGTAGGATGAAGAGTCTCTCAGACTGCTTGAGGTAGTCTTCACGGTCACGAACCGAATCTGTGGTACGAGTCGAATCGGTCGATTTGAGGGAAGAGACTGAAAGCCTGTCGTCTTCCATAGGGGCAGTAGCATAATCTTTGCGTAAGCGGTTCAGACCTTCTTCGAACTCTTGGTCTCTCTTGGATTGAGATTGGAATTGCTGGGGTGGAGCTTGCTGGAACATCCAAGGGTTGGGGAAGTAAGGCATAGGCTGAGGAGGGTAGTTCGGGAAGCCTTGTAGTGGAAATTGGTAGTAACCTTGAGGTGGAAATTGGTAGTAATTTGGTGGAGGGACTTGCTGGAACTGAGGTGCAGGGGCTGGTGCTTTAGGTTCCTCTGGTTTGGGAATGGGCTCGGTTGGTGGGACGTCGGACATTCGTTTGTGGCTTAACCGTCGGACCACAACGATAAAAATCTCTGCTCCTAGCAGTACTGCTACTGACAGTAGCAGTACTTTTACTGACAGTAGCAGTACTTTTTCTGACAGTAGCAGTACTTTTTGACAGTAGCAGTACTTTTACTGACAGTAGCAGTACTTTATCGTCGAAAACCCTCTCAAATTTTCCTTTTTACTGCTCCTAGCAGTACTTTTACTGCTCCTAGCAGTACTGCTACTGACAGTAGCAGTACTTTTTCTGACAGTAGCAGTACTTTTACTGACAGTAGCAGTACTTTTACTGACAGTAGCAGTACTTTTTCTGACAGTAGCAGTACTTTTACTGACAGTAGCAATGGTCGAGGTCGAACCGACCGACGAGGCAATTTACCTAATTGAAATTAACGAGCTTGTTAAAGACTTCCTCAGGCAGAATGTAAAAGGCAAGCTTGTTAACTGTTGGATAACGGGAAGGGCTGCCTTGAATCTCGAGACTTCGACTGGAATTCCAATTCAAATACCAGACGGGACAGCCTACGACGACATAAAGCAAGCAAAGAAAGAAGCTCTTCTCAAGTTCTTTGCCAAGCGTCCTTGGATACAACTTCCAACCAGAGAGAACCCTTTCCCAAGAATGAGCCAAATTCTCAAGGGTCTCCTTCACTTCTCGGGTCAGCCGTTCTACATAACCTGTGAAGGCGACATCCAACCAGTTCAGTAAACCTTAACGTTTAGAGTAAAAACATTTTTTTCATTTTTTGAATGAAGCAAGTTAAATTCGTCCCACACCAAACTCAATGGACCGATGAAGAGTTTCAAGCCATGGTTGAAGGCGTTGAGAACGACATAGACGGCGAACTTGAAGGAGCTCAAACCACAATTGCAACCAAAATTGCAGAAGTCAAGGAACAAATAGCTCCACTTAAAGCTACCAAAGCTACTCTTGACCTCATGGATACTTACCGTTTAGAAGTAAAGAGTGGAATAAGACAATTAAAATTAAAACTTCTAAACTACGAAGCTATACTCCAAAAGTTAGCAGAAATGAGAAGACTTTACCAGAGCTACTTACATGTAAGGGACTTACCTTCAAGCAGTCCGACCAAAGATGAATTTTCTGACATTGTCCCAATTTTGTCCGAAAGTCAGCTCAGATGTTTTGAACTGCTCCCAACATATCCAGAATATGAACGTTTGCCTGAACTCTTCCGCAATCTCAAAAAACGTTTTTTGGTTCTCATGTTCGAAACTTTTATCGGAAGAGACAACAAACGTTCAGAAGAAGAACAAGATATTATTTTAAACTTGTTGTATGACTTAACCGTCATAACAAGCTTTTTGAAGTAAAACCGTCATTCTCAAACCACTTCATTTTTTCGATGTCCGAACAAGCACCGAAGCCGAACACAATGGCAGATGTCCTTTCAATGTTGCCAGACAAGCGCCCAGTTCAAATTCAAATTTTGAATTTGAAAGCTCATCTGACAAACACCGTTAAGACTCTCCAAAGTAGTCTTATGGAAGAGATGACCAAGCTCAAAGCCGATGTCCTCATGAACCAAGCTTCCAATGAGAAATGCCTGAATGATTTGACGGAAACCTTGCGCAATTACGAGAGAGAGAACCGAGACCTTGCCAGACTCATCTACCGTTTCTTCGAAGAGATAGATGCCATCTGGAAGGTACTCGGAAAGGACAGAACATGCAACACCGTAATTCGTGAGCACCAAATTGAAGAAGGAATTTTCGAGGAAGAAGAGGAAGAAAAGAAACACGAAGAAGAAGAGGAAGAAGAGGAAGAAGAGAAACACGAAGAAGAGGAAGTTTGGGCAACCCTTGTTGCCGATGACGCTTACGAAATTTCCCAACCCTACCCATACCAAATCCGCAACAAGGAGACAGGCAAGGTTCTTACCCCAGTCCTCAACAACTTGGGACACTTGAACCTTAACCTTCGGAATCGCGGTTCAATCTCCATGGGCAAGCTTGTCGCAATTCAATGGGTTCCAAATCCAGACAAGAAGACGAGGGTCAGACACATTGACGGTGACAAGCTCAACAACCGTAAGGAGAACCTCGAGTGGTTCTAAGAGTAAAAAAATTTTATTTTAGGGGGAAACCCCGAGTAAATTTAGGTGTTTATTTAGTTAAGTAGCTTAAATTAATGAGAATTTGGACAAGTAGTTCCTGACCCCTGAATTGGACTCTTTCGTCATCCCAGTTGCGTAGGAGGTCGTCCCAGAGGAGTTGGTAGAATTGCCAATCCAAGGACGATTTGTCCTCCCAGGCATTGAGGATGTACTGCTCGTAGAGTTTCATGACCTCTGCCTTGCACCAGACACCCTCTCCCTTGGAACGTAAGGCTTCTTCGAAGTGCTCGAATGCGATTGGCTGCGTGACCATCTGAAATGACACTTTTTGTCCGTTTGGTCAATGTTTGTGTCTCGTGCCATAGTCGACGAAAATACAAACAAACAGGTTATATATGAGTTTGAGACCAAGAATGGTGTAACTCGACCTGTCCGATTCAAATTCGAATAAAAATTTTTTATTTCATGCAATGTTTTATTTCTGTGCCGTCTTCAAGTATGCCCCAGTACTTACGCTTGGAGAGGACATGAACTTCGGTGAAAATTTTGTCCAATTTGAATTGACCCATCTTTTCACCGACCATTCCCATTTCAATGAGTTTGTTATAGCCTTCTTCGTTCGTCATGAGTGCGTCAATGTTCTCATAGTAAACCACAACTTTGGATTTGACTTCGGAGAAGAATTTGTTGTAGTTGTCAAGGACTGCCTTTGCGAACTGAGGGTAAGACCAATGTTCGACAATAGGTTTTAATGTGGTTACTAAGCCACTTTGACCTTGAGTGAATTCGTACTTCAAAACAAAAGGAGAAAACCTTTCAACAAAGTTGTCGACCTTCTCATAATGTTTACTCTTCATCTCTTGAGGTTTCTTAATGGAATATCCCCATGTCGAATTCATAAGCAATTTGAGTGTCATTGCAAGTTTGGGGTTTGAAGCTTTCCTAATATCATACAGTTGTTGTATGACTTTTCCAACTGTATAGTTCCTTCCCGAGAACTCACCATCTTCGTTTGGAATTCCAGTCGGGATATATTGGACGAACCTCATGTACGCAGCGTTAAGGTCGACATAGTATATCTTTTCATCTGAGTCGAACTTGTCGCATCCAATCGGACCAGTTCGTGGAAATTCAAGTGAGTCTCTTATCTTCTGAGAAACTTCTCCTGTTATCTCATAAACATCGTCGAAGCAACCTGTTTCATATAAAACCTTCTGACCTAACTCAGATGCTCTCCAATACAATTTGACGTCGATTGGATGCTCAATGGAAGTTTGTTTATAGCATCTTGAAGTTCTTGCAACCTCATTGGAAGTTCTTCTGGTTCAGGTTGGTATCCGAACAATCCAACTCCTTTTGGAACTGTGTACTTCTTTTGTACTAGAACTTTGTCTGGAACAACTTTTGGTCTTGCTAACAGTGAAAAGTTTGTTTCGTCTTTTGGTACAAAACTTTCTGTCAGCTTGTCATCTGGAATCGGTTCCAACAAACCTTTCTCGAAAAGAATGTTAACAGCTCTGACAATGTTGCACTTGCCTTTTCCGAACAATGGGTTTGTAAGACTTTCGTTCAACATGAAGTGGTTGTGGACAATTGCAATCTTCAACCATGGTAAGTCTTTGTCAACAACATAGTCGTCATGTGAAGAACCTTTAGCTGTAGGTATGTTGACTCGGATATTGACATTTGCCAACGGTGCAATTTTTTGCCAATTGACCTCTGAGAATGTACCTTGTCTTCACACATGACTCAAGATACTTCATTTTCTCATCTGTAACAAGACCAGAGTTCTGAGACATGTAAGAATACAAGGTTCATTGACAATTGTTTCAATTGATTGTAAATCTCCATACCTTGTCAAGTCAATGTCAACTTATTTTATGAAGGGGAAGTATCCAGCATGTTGTCTGACTGCTTGAGGGTTAGGTTGGTACCATTCGAACTTCACGCTTACAATTCCTTCAATTGCATTCAAATGTCTGAGTCGGAGTCAACCATTTGTTCTCTCTTTGTAGTCTTGAAAGCGTCAAGAAGCATGAGCTGTTGTGACATTGCCATGCGCATAGTAATATGACCGTCCAAATCTGTTATGGTCAATCTGAGATTGTATCCTTTCTTATTTCCATCTTGAATTGCAGCAAGTACTCCCATGAAGCTTCTTGTTCTTTCCTTCGTCAAAGTTTACTGTAAAGGTTCGACAATGTAATTTGACTTCTAACTTCACGGTACTTTTCATATGCATATCTTGTTCTTTCCATGGGAGCATGTGCGTCTTACCATTTTCCTTTTTTCCGTCTCAAAGGATGCATTGTTCGTCATGTTTCCAGTAGAATCTGGCAAAGCGTCGTGTCCTTCACTTGAGGTTCATAACATCGAAAGGCATGTCCATAAGACGTTCTTCTTCTAACCTCTCTAGTTTGTTTGGATAATTGGCACGTGCTGTTTCCAAATCCATTTCGTAGCGAAGACCAGACATTTGTCATAGACTTTTATGGGTCTTCCCTTCTATATTTAAACTTCTTTGAAACTCTCCAACCATATCTTTCTAACTCTGCTTTTATTCTAGCAGACCTTCTATCCATTCTATACGGGGGCATTTTTATAAATAAAAAAAATGTTTTTTCTTTACTTTACATAACCGCCTGCTGCCATAAGTCTTTGACGCCAACCATACCAGCTAATGAAGGTTGACTTGGTTTAGTTTGGAAACTAAACTTTGGTTTTGGTTTATCTTCAGTTTTTGGTTTCTCTTCTTCTATCGGTTTTTCGTCACTTTTCGGTTCCTCTGACTTTACCTCACCTGCAGGAACAGTTGTGTCGTCAACATCTTCATAAATATCATATGCCATTTTGTTTTTGTTTTCCTTTCAACTTTTTGTGTTTGTTGTAAAGTTTAGAATATTTCGACTCTAAGTCAATGAGATGTTCTATAATGAACTGTTGGTCAGTGAAGTAAACTTTTCCATCTGTTGTCTCGAAAGCTCCTTCAGACTTCAATATTTTATTTGTGAGAGTCTGTTTCTTTTTTGAGATACTAGCCGTTCCATTTCTATGAAAAGTGACTTTGTAGTTAGGGTTTGTATTTCCAGACCTGGCACTTTCTATATTATTGAATTTTTCTCTTCATCTGTAAGTTCTTTGACAGGTTTTGACAATGGTTCTGAACTTTTTGTTTGTGGTGTCAAATCTACCGTTTCAACTTCTTCGGTCATTTCATCTCAGTAAAAATTTTAGTTTGGTTTGTTTTCAACTGGTTGTTTAGGTTTTTTAAGTCGGTCTAAAACTTCCTGAGGTATAGGAAGAACTTGACAAACACGTGGTTGTGTAACTGCTGGAAGCCGACAAATCCATCTTGAACCCATTTGTCTCAATGCTGTATTGTTCATTTCATCTCAGTAAAAAAATTTACATTCCCCAAGTTTGAGGCGGTTGAGGTTGGTTATTGTTTACCCACTGTTGTGCATGGTTATATCCTCTGTTAAAGAATCTTTCACCTTGGTCCATATAGTGTCCTGCTTGGTTATAGTAGTCATTTGCTTTGTTATAATAGTTTCCTGCTTGTCTTCCTACATTGTCCATCCATCCTTGAACTTTTCCTCTTGTTTCAGGATTTGGAATAAGATTTGCTGCATCTCGTGCTACCTCCAACCTTTCTGTACAGTTTGTATAATAGGTTGTGCTTTCTCTTTAAGTATACCTAATGTACTCAAAATCTTTCCTTCAATTCCAAATGCACCTCTGGCTATTGTTCCCACTGCGGGTAAAAATCTAGATGCAACTCCTGCTAATGCGCCAAATAAACCCATTTCTTATAGGGTAAAAAATGACGAATCCAAACAAGGACCCTATGTTTCTAAAGCAACAAAGAAAGCACTCATGATAAAAATCTTTAGTTCAACACCAAATGCTTGGTTTATGGATATCTTGGAAAACATTCCGAGGTATAGAGAAGACGGACCACCATACTGGCTAATATTTGTTGGTCAAAACACAAGATACTGTGAAGCCATACCATTATGGTCCAAAAATATTTTAGATGTGAAAACTGCTTTGACAATATTCGTTGACAAATACCATCCAACAAAACTGACATCTGACTGTGAAAGTTCTTTCAAATCAGACGAATATTAAAAACTATCTGCGTTCAAAAAATGTAAACCAATATTTCATTGTCGACCAAAACCATTCTGCTCTTGGTGTCATTGACAGTTGTATAAAATCTTAAGAGACTTAAATCAACCACAAGGTGGTGAGGTAGATGAAATGTCATATGACGACAAATATAGACACTTCTCCATGGCAAAGATGAGACAAGTTTTAAATATTTACAATAGCCGTAAACAAAAAGGTTTGGGAAACCACTCCCCCGAAGAAATGAAAAACAACCCGACTTAGAGAAAGACTATATATTTAATAGTTTAGTCAAAAGAGACAAACAAGAAAGAATGCCAGGCTTCAAACTTAAGAAAGGTGACAAAGTAAAAATAGAAATACCTAAACGCGACCCATATGAAAATACTATTGACTATGACAACAATGGGAACTCGACAGGTACTCACCTTCGTGTTCGTAAAAATAGAAGAAAGTATACAAGAGAATATTATGAAGTTTTAGGCAAACATGGCAAAATGTACAGACTGCAAGCAGAAGATAAAACTACTATTGTCAGACCTCGTTTCAAACTTGTCAAAGTTCAAGGTGGTATACTTTCAAAGACAGTTCCTAACAAATATAAGACAACTCCTGACGAATATGCTAAAGAAGTTGAAAATGACGACTAAGCATTTCTATACCATGCGTAAACTGTCATGTAAGGTGGCATGTAGTCTTTACTCTGTCCCGTTGTTTGCGTATACCCTGAAACGCGATGTGTATGGCTTCCTCCTACCTCAGTGTTACTCCAGTAACAATTTATAGCAAACTTAACGTCCTCTTTAACATCATATCCTTTACCTTTTGTCATTCCTGACCAATCCCAAAATCTATGACTATGCAAACCT